GCAATATAAGGATCAGGTGGAATTGCTTCACCAACAAGTCCTGACTATCTTCCAGTCCAAGGAGATTCCATACTTCATCATGGCAAGGATGGCATCAGATGGCTACCGCTCAGTGGAAGACCTTGCTGACCGATGGCCCACCATCACGGAGGCCCGGAACAACTCCCCAGCAGACCTCCAGTTCCGCCACACAGACCGTGGGGGAGCTTTGATCACACAAGAGAAGACAAATCACTTGGCCATGCGCATCTCACAATGTGTCCGTCAAGCACAACAGTTGTTGGGCACTGGGGGCCTGAACCAGGGCCGAGTGGGGCCTGCAGGGCTACTGCCGACGACGTCTCAGGCGGCGCCCTCACTGGATGCCCTGTGTGATCGACGCCAGCTCCTGCAGACATGGACGGTGGTCGTTCAGCTCCCACTCCCACGATTGGAGGATCAAGGCTCCGATGCCTTGTTGAAGAAACAGTTCAAACTCTGTGCGCAAGGAGAAGTTGGTTGGATTGCCAGCAAGTACATCATATCAGCCCTACCAGACCAGGATGAGCGGCCTATCAAGACCACCAAGAAGGTGACAGTCGATGGATGGGAAAAGGAAGAAGAGGAGGAGACACGGAAACTCCCAACTACGAGGCGTCAGTTGGAGCACATGCACCTGGTCTTTCGAACCAACCTCCTCATGGCCATCCTCTCTTTTCCCAGCATGCCGAAGCTGAACATCACCCATAGGGACCTAGAGGACTGGTACCGATGGTTCTGGGGGAAAGACATTGCGGACAGGCGACCGCCCCCCAGTGAACAAGTTCTCCTCTACGCTGAAAGGAACGCATGGAGGGAGATCCACAACTTGGTCTACGGGGGACTGGGCCTCAAGGAGGCCATGGCCCAACTACGTCAGGACACCCTGTTTTGGACCAGAGAGGTCTATGAGTCTGTCGCCCGGCAGAAAGGCACCAAAGGCTCTGGGCCTGACTCCCCAACACGACCAGCCAAGTCAAAGGGACGCCAACCTTCATGGTCACCAACTCAGCCACAATGGAACAAACACAAAGGGTCACCCAAAGGGGGTAAGGCCAAAGGGGCCATGGGATCCGGAAAAGGGAAGGACTCTGAATGGCCTTCAAACTGGGCTAAGATCTCACCCAAGGGAGTGCAGTACTGCCGTGACCACTTCCTCAAGAAGAAATGTCCCGGGAACTGTGGACGCTCCCACAACTGTCCGGTCCTCAAGAATGGCTGGGTATGCAACGCCGCGCCCTCAGAACACACCCCAGAGCAATGCCCACACCATTGACTCCTGGCGGACCCGGTAGCGTCTTGCACCGATCACCCACCAGGGTTGATGGACACCCCAACACCTGTCAAAAACCAAGCAACAACGGAACCGGGGGGGCCTCCCCCAGGTTACCCTAACGACACAAGCACACCACATTCACACCAAGAGGCAGTGGGCCGATCACTTGACACACCGGCGATCATGAATGGACAGTCCCTGCTTGGGCACTGTCCATGGCTTTCATCGGTTCCGAACAGGCTGTTGGAACGCCTTGTATGGACCACACAATCCACGGGTAGTCTCCAAGGGAGGGACATCCTACTCCTCTACACCGGCAGGAGTGACGGAGGAGCCCTGGATGACGTACTCATCCAACAACGCCAGGACCTGGCCCCCAGGCTCCTTGCCGTGGACATCCTGAGGCCACCAGAAAAGGGCCCAAACGACATATTGGATGATGAGTTTTACTCAACTCTCTGCTGCGCCGCCGCGAGGGGCCAGTTGTCATTTGTGGGGGGCGGCCCCAACTGCCGGACCTGGAGCATCCTACGATGGTTCCCAAAGCCTGGAGCGCCCAGGCCTGTACGAGGACGGGATCCCTCCCAGACATGGGGCCTTGACTCAAACTCCCTGGAAGAACAGTTGGACACAGACAAGGACAGTATCCTTCTGCTCCGGCAAATGGTCATCACTGCCCTAGCCTCCAAAGCCAGGCAAAACAAAGGATTCCACTCGTTCTTGGAACACCCTCGTGACCCAGCTGAGTGTAGTAGGGCTCCAACGGCGACAAAATGCTCATCGATATGGGCCACTAGAGTCTACCAGGAGTGGGCCAAAGAGGTAAATCACTGCCAGATCCACCTGGACCAGTGCAGACTGGGACAAAGGGCACAGAAGAGTACGACCTTCTCAACGGACCTTCCAATTCACCATTGGCAAGGCCTCCAATGCAACCACGCTGGACATTCAAGGCCAATGGAGATGACCTCCCGGGACCTCAGCAGATACCCGCCAGAACTGATGACCGGGCTAGCAGCAGCAATCATCCAGAGCATTCCAAACACAGGACATCAACCCACCGGGTGCCAACAGGAAGGGGAGCCTCCAGGTCGGACGGACCGCTCCTCATCTGTACCCCTCTCCCAGACGATGACTTTGGATGACGACCCGATCATCGTTCAATCAGGCTTCAAGACTAGACCCTTACGGGATGGAGGAGGTAAGCCCTCAGCCGGGAGACGACCTCCCCCGCTCAGACCTCAGTCCAAGATCAAGCACATTGGAGACTCCATTAGCCACCTGGCAAAAGGATGCGCACAGGACGTCCAACAGTCCATCAACAGTGGTGAAAGAAAACACCCGTTCCCGAAGGAACTTCTCCAGGAGACACGACGGGCCATTGCCCAAGGGATCGGGCTGGACTACCAAATCGCTGAGGAGATGGAGCCAGGCCAGCCGTTCTATCTGAACCTCATCTCAGCCTTAGCAGAAGCTGGTGGAGATGCAGATGCAGCCTACCCCACAAGGGTGGCCAAAGGAGTCCCCTTAGGTGTCACCACACCCACCTGGACGTCACCAGGCATATGGCCTACCAAGGAAGAACTCAAAGGAGAATCCCCTCTGTGGGAGGACCTCCTGATACCCATGGGCAGGGACAACTACCCCTCGGCAAAAGATTTCTCCTCTCAGGTTCGACAGACCTTCGTGGAGGAGGTCGATATGGGTATGGTTGAGGGCCCACTCACACAGGAGGAGGCTGCACTCCGCTGTGGATGCACCCCAGATGAACTCTGCCCAGGGCCCCTGGCAGCAATTGATGAAGGAGATAAAATCCGCACAATCTACGACGGAAGCTGGGGCCATGCAAACTCACACATCCAACAAAACACAGTTGAGAAGACCACTGCACCCACAGTAATGGACTGTGTTCAAGCCATTCACTGGCTAACCACCATGAAGGAGAAGACATCTGGGACGGTAGCGTCTTGCACCGACCTGGCATGGCAACCTCCACACAAACAAACCACCTGGGCACTGTTGAAAGCAGATGTCTCAAAAGCACACCGCCGCATCAAGGTCCAGTCCAACGAATGGCGCTACCAGGTAGCACAACTTGATGGTGAATGGTGGATAAACAAGGTGGGTACCTATGGTATGGCCAGCGCCCAACTTTATTGGGGCAGAATGGCGGCACTCCTCCTCAGACTATGCTACATGATGTTTCCACACATAGACTGGGGCTTTGTGTTCGTGGACGATTTTTGTTGGCTCCTCAGGACGGACTCCGCCACTGAGGATACTGCAAAACTACTTCTCTTCTTAGCAGCCATGGGATGCCCCCTCAGTTGGCACAAGACGGTGTTATCTGAGGTCAACACCTGGTTAGGTTTCCAGGTCAATCCATGTGGACCCGTGGTCGACTTCCCTCCAGATAAGAGGAAGACACTTGAGGCACTCCTTCAGACCATTGCGGCGGGCAACACCTTCACGGTGAAGGAGATTGAGAGAGCACTGGGACGATTGAATTGGGCAACGGCAGCTTGGCCCCTCAGTCGCCCTTTTCTTCAGCCATTTTGGGCATGGAAATCCGCGACGACTACCTCAGGGAAGCCTGGCAAGCTCATACGATCCTTCTCAAAGCTTCTCCTCCAACTGCTTCACAACCCCCAGATCCAGCCCTGCCCTTATGACCCTGCCTCCAATTGGTGGGGTGCCAGTGATGCTAGTGCACACCCGGACGATGGGGCCTACATTGGGGGATGGATTGCAGATTGTGAGAACCCGTCAAAAGGCCAGACCTGGTGGTTCCATTACAAGATACCCCTCGAAGACCATCCATGGGCTCACAAGGATGGTGATCCAACCAGACGCATTGCGACCCTCGAGATGTTTGGTACATTGATTCTTACCCACTTCCTGCTGGCTTTGGGTGGGAAATCTCTGCTTCGTACCCGTCTCAGCCTCATTTCAGACAATCAAGGCAATGTCTTTGCCCTGTTGAACCAGAAGACGAAGCACATGCCTACCTCAGCTTTCCTAATGCAGCTCATTGCCATGCTCTATGTTGCTGGGGTTCAATTGGCGCCTTCACACATGAAGCGGGACTACAACAAGTGGGCGGACGAACTCACCCACCCGAACTTCACTGGTTTTCATCCTGATCGACGACTACCAGTGAGTGAAGCTCTTTCCCATTTTAAATTTCTCTGGGCCCTTCTGGATGACCAGATGAGTGTCCCCACCTTTTCAGGAAATTCAAAACGTCGTAAGACCGACTCTCACGCCACCTAAGGTCCTTCGGGAGCCAGGTGGTTGCGGCTGACTTTCTGGTGTACAGTGGTGTTTTCCCACCTACAACCCTCTTTTTCCTTTCCTTACTTGCGCGGGCTACACGCTCCGGCGGGTTGGGTGGATTTTGACGTGTGACACCACCACTGCATTTCAGAGTTTCTGTGAAACCATTTGTGATGGATGCGATTGGCATCTGACAGAAACACAGCCGCAAAGCCAACTGCATAACAAAAGGTGCTGACTGACCGATGCAGTTGCTTTGTTCCGTTTCTGTCATTTTCAATTCTATTCGGGAACACATTACATTATATTACATATGTTTCTAATGGTTTCATATTGTTTCTATATATTTGAACTTACATAATACTACACATAATGCATACACACAAAGAGATTTTACACAGCCATACAGAGCTGCGTTGAAGCTCTGCAGGAGCAGTTTCGCGTACGCGATCACCTCGTGCAACCACACCGCGTCGGTCTTCACCTTCCCCAAGAGTGACTGACCAAGACCGGGGACCAGGGGAAGATTTGCAGATTACATCAGATTACATAGCCTCTCTATGCCTCAAATGGGTGTGCAAATGGGGGTGTGCCCCCAAATAGTCGTTTTGATAGGGAAATTATGAGAATCTATTTGGGGGTACCCTATTTTCAGACAAAACCATATGTACCTGGCATAGCTGTATTGTATTGTATTGTGCTGTATTTGTCTACAGTATACCGCAGTCTATGCAATCCAGGAGTCACAGCCAGGTGCCACCGTCTCTCCCTTCCCTGCTAGGAATATCATCCTTGCATAGTACGAAGTCTGAAAAGTTCTTGGGAAAGCCCAGGATCCGTATTTGCGGACTGCTGAGCGTGCTGTGGCCCGAGTGACCAGCGAGGGTCAGACTTCAGGCACTTGCACATCCCGCATCATTCGACGCGATCCGACATGCGAAGATAAACCACTACAAGGGACCAAGTCAAGGCTGCAGCTTGAAGAGCGTCAACATCCAACAACATCCAACAAACATTCAATAACTTGTTTTTTTTTTTTCCCATGACTTGTTTCGTGCCAAACAGCCTCAGCAATTGCTTTGAAGGCCGAGGGTCGCTATCTGAAAGGGCTCGGCAAGCTTCCTCGTGCGAAACTCAGAAGTGAACACAGTTTTGTCCGAGAGCTAGGACACTGGTCGAATGTTGAAACTCTTGCGTAGATATTGCAGGTCCCAACCGCGAACAGCACGACCAAAGATGTCGCAGTCGGCCTGGATGCCTACAAAGACGCAGCTCAAACGAAACAGAGTTGAACCATGTTGAACTATGTTGAATAGACTGCCGAACAGGAAACTTATTTCCAGTGTTTGGGCAGGCTTCGCGTGGGGTGAGATCAGGCTCCTCCAGCAGATGCCTCATGATCATTGTCCTCATTTGGGTCTGTCTGAAATTAAGGTACACCCCCCAAATGGTCTTTGAATGGGGGATATTCTGATAATCCATCCATTGGAGTTTTGGATATCCATTGGATATTTTCAGACAAACCCATTTGAAGAGTTGGTGTGACGGGTGTTACAGCCTGGATCACTTGCGGTCGTGTTTCTTCAGGTGCAGAGCTGCCTGGCAGATTTGATGCGTCATTAGTTCAAGCCTTACTATGGTGAGAAGCAAGACATGCAGTGGATGTGTGGATGTACATTTATGATAATGTATGCATTTTTTTACGCAAAGATTCTGTTGCGTACACTATGCAGTCACATTTTGTGGTACATATGGCACAAAGTTCGCATTTTGCAGCTATGGTTCAGGGCAAAAGTAGTCGAACGGAGGGCCTGCTGCGCCTTTCACGTGCCCTCGGCGAGGCTTGGGTTGATTTTCATTTCATTTAGAAGCTGACCACTTGGGCTTTTTCATCCTAGCTCCTTGAGGCTCAACGAGCTCTTGAGCTGGAAACTGCGGAGGCACAAAGGGCACAAAGGGAACACCTGTATTACCCGGATGGAGCCAGCAAGAGGGACTGTCAAAATACGGTCAAATTCAAGCCACATTTGATAGCCAAAAACAAGCCATTTCCACAGTTCGACAAACTCCGTCTCAACAGTGGTTGCTTCACGTTCTGCTTTCTCCTGAAATGATTTGATTTGCACAGACTTGGAGTTGACAGTGACAGCTGCTTAGTCATACTTGCCACTATTAAAACCGATGAGACAGACACCATCAGATCAATCACATCATCTTCATCTTCACATTTGATTTGCCAATGTCAATGGTAAAGGCATTGCGGAGGCCACATGAAACTTCGGGGGAAGAAGCCAAGGCAGGTGGAACAAAGGGTTGTCCTACATATATCAAAGAGCGCAACAAAAATTGGGGAAGATCCATCTCCGATTCCTCGGACATCTCCATATTTCAGAGCTTGTGAAGTTTGGGATGGGATCAGGATGGGATCGGCAGTTGGAACAGGAGACATCAGGAGACACTTGAAATCATTTGAAACATTTTGAAATCACTTGAATCATTTTCGAAGTCACGAGGCTTTGGAGGCATTCACAGAGAAGCTCCACAGGCAGCTTGCAGAGGCCTCTGTTGGAGTCGCTCCCAGAAACTCTCCGTCTCCGTTTCCGGATGGTCTCTACTACTGGTCTCTATCGGAATCTTCTTTTTTGCTTCTTTGCCACTACTATGAGCTTTTTGCCATCAGCTCTAGTGCATTTCTAGTGTCGGCTGCTGATGAAATGAGTTCTTTGCCTGCCAGGCCCAAAACACATCAAGGGCTTTGGAGGAACAACTTGCTGGTATTGCACGTAGCCCAGCGATGCCCAGTGCAGACTGCCTTGCTTAGATCTGACTAAAGAAGCTATTCTATTTGAGTCATTCGAGCCTTGTTGTTCCATGCTTTCCCGTCAGAGCACTAGATGCCTCGATCAATGACTGAAACCTATCTCCATCACTGGTGTCAGCGGCTGGTGACGTTGCACAGCAATGATGATTCCTATGGCTAAGAAATAGCGACCTTCCCATTCAGGCCATGGCCAAAAATAAAGCTGCAGCTGATGCCAGACGGATTCAAACAGTTCAGGCATGGTTGTGACATGTTGTGACTGTGCAAGCACAACTATTGGTGAGTACATAGCACCGATATGCACCGATAGCACATACACCTGCATAAAGAGTTGTCCAGTGCTTGCAAGCACATCCAATTCTACACAAGCCATTTTCCTGACTTCCAACTGATTACACTGATGGGTAGATTGATTTGCGGGGCTCTTGGCTTTAACGAGGACGATCTGAACGAGCTGAAGCTGAGTTGGCGGGGCAATGGCACCTTCACACCAGCACCCATCCCGGAAGAGGCTCTGGGGCTTTGCTGTGACGATTCCTACGCACCTTGCCTGCTTTGCTCTCAGCCAGGCCGAGGAAACCGACCTGGAAAAAACCCGAAGTATTCAGGCCATAGCACAGGGGTGGCGATGGCATGATGGTGGCCACGTGTAGTCCCAATGATGGTCACTTGTTTTTCCACTGTGGTGAACCTGCCCACCATGGAAATTGTGGAAATTCTGTGACTCTGCAGTGTTTGGCTTGAGCATCTGAAGCAGCACACATCAAAAAAATGTTTCAATATGTATATATCAATATGTATATATATAATATACAATCACATATATATAATTATACTATATATACATAATACATATACTTGTATATGTATACTTATATATATAAATATGTATATGTATAAATATCTATCTATCTATATATAAATATATATACATATTGTATATATGTATATGCATGTATGTATGTAAATATGTATATAAATATTGTAGTATCTCACTGGAGAACTACTGGATATGATAGCAGGCAGAACACCTAGGCCTTGTATCGCATTATGATCAAGTGGATGTGGCACAGTCTGCACAAGAAGAATTTCTTGGCCGATATGATATCCCGTCAACACGACGACATGTCCTCATCCGCTTTGCTGGCGAGTTGCGTGGCCGATTTGGCCAGGCTGGAAAAGCTGGCCGTACGCGATGCAGCAACATCACAAAAGTTGGCTTCTTTAATACGATCAAGAACTTCTGAAGGGCCAAAGGCACAGCCTGACAAGGACTCGAAGATTCTCGCTTACTGGGAGTCCCTGGGTGCTTCCGGAGAATGTGCAGAAACAGAGCTGGAGGATGGCCAGCAGACAGCTGCTCTTTTTCATTCTGCAAAACAAATGATTCCGGTCCTCGTTCGTCACAACACCATCCTGGAAAGCAACTGTCGTCACTATGAGATAGCGCTGCAAAGCGCGCTCGATGAGTTGTTGCGGGCAAAAGGTAATGCCCTGGAACTCCAGACTTTGATGAATCAAGGATCTACCATAAATCAATTCTTGCGACAAGAGCATCAAGCACAACAGGAGCTTGACGGAGAAGAGATGAGGCTGGCAGCAAGACATGAGCATCTCACTGCCTTGCTGCAAGCAGCTGTCAATTCGAAGGATGGTGAACGAAATGATGTGCTGATCAAAGCTCTTGCCCATGAGAACAGTGTTTTGCGGTCCATGTTGTTTAGCTGTCGCGATGGTGAAGGTATCACCACTGATTCGCCACGGAGGGCATATACATCCTCCAGCAGAGCAAGCCGGTCTTCAGATGATCATCGACCGAGTCCCTGCAGTCCTTCACCCACAAGTCCCGGAAGTCCCATTGAATTTCCTTTCGCCGATGTTCCTCTTGCCACTCTGCCTCCGATGCCACCGCCGTCACCACCGTCCCAACACCGTGAGCCAGCCAGATGAAAAAATGCAGAAGAAATTGGTACCGGTACCGCTTTCTGATCCCATTCCATTAGAATTTCAAAGTTGAAACTTCTTGAAACCAATAGCTTTTAACTCTTAGATGCTTTTTGCTGTTCATCTTGAATTCGGCCGCTACCGTCCGGTACCTATCAATGTACAGTAATCACTTAATCGGGAGGACGAAGCTGCTGAATGGCTGCAGGCTCGGTTGCAGTGCATCACAACGTATGCTTCGTATACGTTCGTATGCGCAGATTGCTTTCCTCACAATCATTTGCACAATACAGTAGTTTGACTGTGCACATCCTGCCCGCGAACAATGTTTGTTCTCTGGTGGCTACAAAGGTAGGAGGAGTTCATTCATAGGCTGTGGCTTTGTCTCAGCTGTCATTGAGACGTGAAGAGCACACAGGTTTCATCTGAGTCGAAGATCAATGAAACACAGAGGGCAAGCAGAACTGAATCGTCCAGCGGGAATGGCATCAAGTCGGAAGGCGGGGAGAATTTGCTGATCAAAAGAAGTCTTTGAACATCTTTGAAATATTTTGTAATAGCGTTTGTAGGAGATGTTTGCATGTCGCCTTTCTGTATTTCTTGCATGCTGACCATGTGCACTCATCGTGCACTGCAAAGACGGTTTGTCCAGGTGAAGAGACCCTCGTGCTGGGAAATACAGAGAAGGCAAAGCTATTCGAAAACAACGGCAACAACAACAACAACCACAAACACAAACACAAACGCAATTAGTACTGTATAAACTAGTCTCAGTTTCAACCTATGAAGTTACTATGAAGATTATGAAGGTTGATCAATACAAATCAAAGACCACGCAGACGGTCAGTGATGGCCAGCAAGATCCAGCAAGTGTTGAACCACAAAATGTCACTCTGCAGTCAAACAGTGGAGACTGATGCCATCCCTTGTTGTCCACTTTTTGACATCGCATGCCATGTCTGAAGTTTCTAGGAGAGCGATGCAACGGCATCCCTTCCTATGTCACAGGCACTGGTTTCATGCCTTCAACATGACATATGCCTTCAATGTAAGGGGTACAAGCCGCTTGTGGGGATTGTGATGTCATGATTGCAGTATATTGCAGTCACCGTCACCTCCACCTTCAGGCTCTAGACGGATGCGAAGCTTCTGAAGTTGTGACCAACTCATGTGAAGGCGGCCTCTGGACCTGGTATGACCTGGTGAGAGGGGCCCATGGGAAGAGACTGGACCGTACTGGACCTCTGAGGCGAAGTGCCTGAAGTATCGCTGGACACCCAGCGGGTCAGATGAGGAACAGGATGGAACAGGGATCAACAGCCCAATTTGGATCCGCCTTGAGGTCTCCGTTAGCTGCGGGCAAGGAGCAAGAAGTTGAGATACCGCCCGCGGAGACTCAAGAGACTCAAGACCAGCACAATGAGCCCACTCCTGAAAGAATCAACATGGATCAACATGAATCAACATGAATCAACATGAATCAACAATGACTAACGTGGCGCTTCGTTTGCGCAGTTCCAGCATGCCATGACTGTGGGGATTCAACACAGTTCTCCTAAGGTCTGAACACCTGTGGGAGCCAGATCCTCAGCAGCGAATCTGCTGTGAACTCTCCGGATGCCGATTGCCGCCAGGTTTGTGGTGCAAGGCCACACTCCAATGGAGAACGCAGATCTGCCCGATACTGACCGCAAGACCATTTCCTGCTTCCCAAGTGCCCCAGTTGCAAGCCACAGCACGTAAAGCAGCTTTACTCAAGTCGAGGTACTGAAGCTATCGAATTTCCAACCGCTATGGCGCTATGTCTGTTTGATACACTTCCATAGACTGGTGACTCTTCAGCTGGAGTTCTTTGCAGGCAATGCCGTGGCCAAGCTGATAAGAAATGGAGTTGCCTGCGTGCCAAACTCGAACATCACAACAAAGACAGCAACTTAAAGAGGAATATATTTATTGTTTGATCTTCAGGTGTGCTATGCTTTTAGCTATACCTTCAACTATCTTCCGAACAGAAGTAACATTTTGGGGTCTTGCTGGTCCTGCTTTGTGAGGTCTGTGCGAGGGGACAGCGCGTTGATCCACGAGTGCCGAATCAAGATGATTTGGTGTTCCTCAGCAGCACCAGGGGCAGGTGACCGGGGAAAGTTGTCCGATCAGAACACGTATTTATGGGGGTGCACTGCTATCAAAGGAGCATCAACCAGATCCGACTTGACACCAGGGATCACCATCTTTGCAATGTCAATCAATATCAATCAATATCAATATCAATCAAATGAATGTTGGAGGTTCTAATTGGAGGTGGTGAGACTGGTGGAATCATGTGGAATCCTCTTGACTGCCCCAGCTGCCCAGCTGCCCAAGGCTTGCCATGTGTTCGTGGGGATCGCAAGGCCGATACTATTGATTACTATTGCCATCCATTGCTATCGGGTTACTACACCATCTGGTAATCAAATGTGGTAATGGACAATTTCTGATTTATAGTTATAGGTTATTTTTCCATTTAAATACATTTCAATCATTGATTTCAATGCCCCTTTATTTGCGTTTATTTGGGAATTTCCCCAGTCATGTTTGATTACAGAAGGGTGGCACGACTGGCTGCGTAGGTCGCGTTGCTCTCTATGGTGTCTTTGATGGCCATGGTCCAGCTGGTCACAGATGTGCTGCTTTGGCGCGAGGCTGCGCGATACTGTGCAGCTGTGAAGTCCAAATATGACAAACAAGCAATGAGATCCATGAGTTTTCTGGTTTTGTTTTGCATACCTAGTTTAGATATTCTGAGACAGACCCATTTCTATATAGATTTTTGAAACGCAATTTGATGATATTTGATATACACTGCTGCACTGCTTGTATAGCATTCAGCTTCGTGGTTTTTCTTTCCTGCAGGCTTCTTGCCAGAACGCATCTTCGGCGACCCTGATTTGCTTTCCTGTCCACGAGAGGTTTGCTCCTCGATACCACTGGCTGAAAATCCCATTGACTTCAAGGAACAGAAAGATAGCAATGCTTGGCAGTGGCAGATGCCGCTGTACCACTGGTACCACTGACAGTAAAGGTGCTCAAAGCAGCCTTCATCGAAACGCAGGCAGAGATGTTGAGGCTCTGATTTTTGGGTGTCATTTGAGGACATCTCTGGATTTTCGACATGGATAAGAACGACATCACCGTAGCGTGAGAAATAAAACATGAATAGTAATGTCTTAAATATCTTAAATTTACATTAGATCTTACCCATATATCTGGACCTTGGTTTGCAAACTGGACCCAGACACTTGGGAAATCATGGATGAGGAAAGGCTTCGCCACTGCAGGCTGGAGCCATCTGAATCGCTGAGCAGTGGATGCACTGCCACAGTGTCAGTGGTCCTGGAAGAAGGCCTCACTCAGCAAAAGGGGCCTGGAGTCTTAGAACCAGAAGTGACCAGAAGGGATCTGCAAGATGCGAAGGGATTGTGTGCCTATGAACATATGCAAACAACGAAGAAATATCGGTGTGAGGATTTGTGAGAGTAACCAGTATGCATTTCGTTATTTCATGATAGCATATCAATGCCTAATCAATGCATATCATATCAGTGATCTCATGCAATATCGACGGCGCATGATGGTGCCAGTTAATCATTTGGCCGTTTGGCGCTCAGGACAGAGCCTGGCATCTCGGACATGGCCTCAGCATGCCTCAGCATGCCTCCACATGCCTCAGCCGGATGTTTTGCAGCGTGCTTTGAATCGGGATGAATCGTGAGATATTGTACTTGAATCCATGTGACATTCAGAGACTGCAAGAAACTGAGCGTTTCAATATCACAAGGTTCACACTGCTCATGTGGGTGATTCTCGAGCAATCCTGGTCTGTGCCTTTGAACACCTTGGGGCTTTGTTCGTTCCTGAAAGGTCAAGATCAGCTTTGTCCAGCTTTCGGAAGATTTAGGAATCAGAATGGAAACGGCCCTGACTGAAGGCAAGAGTATCAGATGGTGCAAACGGGAGCAAGTGCTTCATAGTTGGAGACTCAGACTGACCAGCGAGGCTCTGACAGCACCACCGGTGCAAGCCAGGTCAAAGAGCTGACGAAAGACCATCGACCCGATGACCAGGATGAGGTGAGGGAGGAGAAAAAATGGGAGCCACCGAACAAGTGGCATGAGTCACAATCAGTGACAATAAACAATAATAAACATTATATATATATACGTATAATATAAATTGACCAGATTGTTTTACACTACGTCACTACGTATTGCTTTGCTGTTCTATGGTCAAGCTCTGCCTGAACTGCTCCAAGGCTCAGCGGGTGAAAGATGCAGGTGGCCACATACGCTTGGCGGGTGGAAAGCGTGCAGGGAGCACAGATGGAGCCCATGGTGCCGGCATCAGTGAACGCCTCTGGCGCGTCCGGTGATGTAAGGCCAGAGTTATCTGTGATGCTGTTCCTGGACATCCGGGCTTTGCGCAACCCAGACCTGTTTAGTCCAAAGATTCCAATCAGTTGCGGATCTTTCTTGCAGAGTTTCGTTGGTTCAGTTGCTAGATCTGTCGCTGGTTTTTCACTGAGAGTGGGATAGTCAAAGGATCAGACCGACCAGCTCTTCGCCACTGGTAAAATCGTTATAAATCCACAATATTTATGAATGCTTAACGATCAATTTCACTAAAACAACATGGTGAATCATGGTGATATATTGAAAAAAACATAAGGAACATATAGGAACATCATATTTCACCATGTTTCACCATGTTTCACCCAGGCTGACTCGCTCCCTTGGCCTGGCCATTGGACAAGACTGCGGCATCATAGCAGAGCCGCAGGTGTCAGAGTCGTTCATGTGTCAAAGTGCAAAAGGAAAGGCTTGGAAATCTTGGAAAGAATATTGGAGAAAATCTGTGTTTTTCCATGATTTCCCATATTTTTCCATGTCTTTCATAAGATGAGAATAATATAGACCATGGGTGTTTTCATTGACTTTTGCAACAAGAATTGCTGCCACACAACCAATCAATGCTGATTTGATCGAGGTTTCTTCAGTGCAGCTTCCGGGTGATGCAGAAGCACTGCTTGTTCTAGGCCGTCTCAAACTTTTTGTCCTTTGATCGATCGAGTCTTTGCTTTCTGTTAAACTTGCTTGGCTCGACTTCAGGCACTGATGGTCTTTTTGAATTCTGCGGAAGTCCTGCTGGCATGTTTCCTCGGAAGAGCTTTAAAGGAACCAATAACCAGTCTACGTCAGTCGACATCAGTCTACATTCTACAACCTGCTGTGGTTCTTTGATGTTTGGGTGTCAGACCGCACCGTGGCTGGGCACTTGCTGAAGCACGGTGTCAACGACAGAGCTCTGGAAGAGGAGCGCCTAACAGGATCGTTGTTTGAATACCCCCGTGTTTGGAAATCTAATGCGAGTACTACAAGACTCAATTACACATGACTTGTCACATGCATATATAAATGCAATGTTTGTCTGTTTAGTCTTATGGTTTCTGAACATGTTGTGAACAACGAACTGTTCTTTCCGCGGGCTTCATGCAGGTTGTACATGAGTCAATGGAGCTCTGGAAAGCCAATTCCTCCAACGGCACAGTTGCTTGGACCTCAGATCTTTACAACATTTATCTGACTAGTAGGGGACACTGCATTCGATGTCGGCAACATGTAGCTTTGTGGAAGACCCTGCCACTTCTGCGCCTTCCTGAAATACAAAGCAGATGAAGATTATGAAGACTTTTCTGCTTCATTTGCAGGATGATGCAACTGCTATTGCTGCTTCCTTGGGGCGTTTAGCAAAGTCTGGGAAGGAAAGTTTCCGAAGTTTCCGAAGCTGAATCCGGCTGGAGATGACCTGCCTGTGTGACCTGAGATCCAAGGAAAGCATGTTATCTCTTGGACAAAAATGTGAAAAAGTGATGAAACATGTCAAGCGGAATGCTGCCAGTTTTCGACTTTTTGGACAAGACTTCCAGATTTCCTTGTGATCAAAGGCACCATGTTCAATAAGTCTGCGCAGGGGCGCCAAAGAGTAAATGAACATCATCCCAGGGTCAATATGGGTCGAGTTCAGTATTTGCTGAAAAGGCAGGATCGATTAGGATCGGATTTCTATGAATTTCTTGCAGAGTGCATGTCAGGAGAGACTGGCCCATATTGATTGTAGATGCAACAATTGTAGCCCAATGACTTTTAGCGAAAGTGAAAAGGTTCACTCATTGCGAGCACACGAGGAGCATCGGAGCATCGGACCCGTGAAAGGAGGCTCTTGCCATGCCATGCCATGGATTCAGTTTTGAGGCAGCTGCATCAGGCTCGTGCCCGGCGATAAAACGTGAGGGCAGCATGCAGCACGCAGCATGAACAGCTGCTAGGAAACAAATCGAACAAGTTTGATCAAGTTTGTCATGGAGGATTGGTCAGAAGCAGATGAAAACTACATAAAACTACACAATCAACTGATATCAACTAATCGAACGAAGTTTAGAAGTCAAACTTCCGACAATATGGACAGATGGAAAAGCACAGGTGGGAAGAGTCAGAGAAGAGAAGAGAAGAAGAAAGAAGATCAAAAAAAGAAAGTCTTAGAAGAAAGAAGACGCAGGTGTGTGAAAAGGTAGAAATGTCGCGAATCACTGTGTTTTTCCGATGGTTTGTGGCTCCGGAGGGTCGAAAAGTAGGCTCGCTAAAGCGGGTGCGGAGCCATTTGGCCAGATGAGAGATGAAAAGTTGCACGCCGTCGTGGCGCGAAGCACTTTCCTAGTCAAAATGTACAAAGCACCTCAGCTTCGGGACGCTTTTAGAAGTTGAGATGTCGAAAAAGTGCACACCGTTGTAGCCCAAAGCACATTTCGAAGCCAAAAGTGTTAAAGATAGACGGTCTTGGGCCACTTTTGGAAGTTGAGATGTCGAAAAAGCTGTGGCACGAAGCGCATTTCCAAGTCAAAATGTGCAAAGCACACCAGCTCCGGACCACTTTTCGCACTTGAGATGTCGAAAAAGTGCACGCCGTTGTGGCGCGAAGCACATTTCGAAGTGAACATGTACAAAACACTACATGTTCGCGCCACTTTCGGAGGTTCAGATGTCGAAAAAGTGCGCGACGTTGTGGCGCGAAGCACATTTCGAAGTCAAAAGTGGAAAGGACTGAGGGGTTCGGAGCATTTTTGGACGTTCGGATGTCGTTTTGCGTGGCAGGCACAAGGGTTCTGCACCTTGCCAAAAGTGAGCAAAATGTGAGGGGTTTTGTAGCAGTTTCAACTACAACCACCACTACACTACACTACACTACACTCCACTACACTACATCCAATTACACCACACTACACTACAACTACAACTACATTACACTACACTAATTACGTTGCACTACGCTAATCACATTACACCCCAGTACGCTACGCTAACTAAAACTACAACTACAGCTACAACTACAACTGCAACTACATAACACTACGCTACACTGATTACATTACACTGATTACATTACACTGCATTACACTACACCACACTACACCACACCACACCACACCATACAACTAGGCCCGCTACTTTACACTACACTACACTAGAGTACACTACATTACACTACCCTACATTACATTACGGTACACTCATTACACCACCTAATTGTAATCATTTTCCCGCGGGGCCGACTCATTACACTACACTCATTACAAATGCAACTGCGACTACACTACGCTAATTACACTACACCACAGCTACACCTCCACTACACTACAGCTACAACTACAGCTGCACTACACCACACTACATCCAGCAGTTGTGGGTGAGGTGACCAACCAGGTGACCACTGCAACCATTGCAACCATTCCAAAAAACACAGCTCTAACCACCTTTGGGTCCATCACTGGATTCGCTCTGCCATTCGTGATTCACAACAACCAACCTCTCCTATAGGTTTCCTATTTTTGAAACTTCCGCCGCCGCTTTGTGCGGCACTACTGGTATCAAATGTTTGCGTTGCACATATTACACTAGTTTAGGAACAATAATTATGACATTTTTTGATCCCACGCTGGTCATTTTGCACACTGCAACTCCTTTGGTCCGTTGCTGATGGCCCCGGTTGCTGGAAAGCTGGCTGGCCTTGCTACACGTTCCAGTGCAAGATTGGTTCGACATGGCAACAGTTGTTTACATAAGCATCTTGGAGCCAATCAGTATCAAACAAATGCACATTTATTCAGTTTATACATGCTTCTGGCTGGTCAGCGTTGATTTATGATTGATGCATACTTTATAGACATGTCTAGCCTAGAGCCCGCTCAAATGATCTCAGATGATTCTTGGTAAGGCACATGGCTTGCTCATCGAATGCTGCACCAGGCGGGCTACCGAAGCTTTGCAGGGCAAGTGTTGCAATATGTCACAATATGTCACAATATGTCACAATATGTCACAATATGTCACAATATGTCACAGTCAAAGATGGTCAAAGATGGTCAAAAGGGTGGCCTGTCAGGATCCGAAGAGACTGGCCGATTGACCATCACCTCTCGAAAGGTTGTTGGAATCGGCCCACAAAGATCTTTGGACCTTGCAGGACGTGAGATCGGCATGTGGATGCAGCGGGGTGATAGCATAATTCTAGTTGAACCATATCCAACCATGAGCATCCGTTATGTACAGACTACTGAATTCACACCTGCAATGTCGATGGCAGCGACAAAAAATAAAGCAAAAACATTACCGTTCCACACCTGAACAAAGGGACAGGCAAGAAAAAATGTTCTAAAATCAAACGATGCTATTTGGTATATGTTCATCTTCCAACTCTTTCCAGAATGCTGTATTATGTATTTATTTATATTGTTATACTTTATACACTCTGTAATTTGTCATTTCAGGGTTGTCCTGCTCCATGTAATCCTAAAATGTGCACTGCTTGACAGGTCTTTACCTTTTTTTAACATCACTGGGAATGTCAGGAGCTTTCCTCCAAGATGTTCATTTGCGCTGCCCAAACTCGGTGCAGCTGACCCTAGAAGTCATCGGCAGCGCTCCTTTGAGCTCTGTGATGAACGCCTTAGCGTTTTGCAACAGGTGCCTTGGCTCGTCATTTCGGTGGAGGGTGTTGAACCACAAAGTAAGTCTGGGAATTTTGAAGCTTCAGGCCTAAGCCCATTTCGACAAGATTGGCAAGCATACTTTCATATGTTTTCCCACTCCCACAATGTGATAAGACCAACCTGATCAATAGTCAAACCAGACAGGGACTGACCCTTCATGAGTGAGTTCGCAAAGAATGGCCTCTTTCAGTAGGAATTCTCATGGCAGTCACACGTTCAATGCGTAATTCATCTGAGTTTGAACTTGCTCTACTTGACTGGATCGCTATGGATTGCTTCCGCTAGGTAGTTGGGAATGCAGACCTTAGCAGTGCACCATGGAACCCTTGATGCAGGTCCCTGGGTGAAACCGCCTGGCGACTGGCCTTTGTGCCTTTGGTACGCGTTTTTGTTTACCGAGAGCCCGAGAAGGAGGGGGGCAAGCTACTTCTTGTCCATAGCCCATCCTATTTGAAAGCTGGTCCTGAAATTGCTGTCAGCTCCTCTGAGTATGGGATTAGAATTTGACATGTGCCAATGCATGCCATCCATGTGACATGTGTTTTCACATGTTTGGATTCCTGACAGATGGTTTCGCACCTGCGTCGTTCGCTGCGGATACAGCTGCGTGCTGTTCCTCTACATGCAGTGGAAGCAGCCAAAGAAAGACGAGATGCTGGAGTCATAGATGTAGACCTGGCCTTAGACGTGCATTGATGCAGCACTAGTGATCACTAGGGCAGACTAGGCAGAGCCAAAGAAGTGGCATGTCTTAGATGCTTGATCTCCGCCGGATGCATTTAATTGTTTATTTCGACTATGAAACACCACACGCATGGAGACACCAACTGCTTTCCTGCTTTTGATCTAAGCATTGTACCGCAAGCAGACTGTGTGTCTCACTCTTAGCTGAGGTCAGGGTTAGAGCCGACACCGATTTGAGACGCCTCAGCGGTCTTGTGAATTCACGCTTTCGGTTGGCAGCCCTTGGATTGGAAGAAACTCGCAGATCTTGCCGCTGTTTTGAACCGTTCTCCTTTTATTTCTTCTAACTACACCCATCACCTGTCCCCTCACATTTGCTTGTCCATCTCAGGAGCCTATTGTCATGGAATCCATGGGACGAAAAGCCATCGAGAAGATGGTGAAAGCCTTGGCTGCTGCGTGGCAACGCAGCGCTCGAGAGCACGAAACTGAACTCCCGGAATGTGCTTTCCATTGCTATGTAGAGCACCAACTAGTGCCAAGCCCCAGCTTGGAGCTGTACAGTGGAGTTCAATGCATTCTGCTGCCCGTCAGCACAGACTGGCACACGGCATTGAAAAGGAGTCATGCAGAATACTTTCCAGTGGTCTAACCTTTGGTTGGAGACACAAAGCAGATGAAAGCTGAGATAACTTTGGTTCTTCTTGTTTTGTCAAAGTCACCCCTGTATTGGGAAGCATAAGCAGACCTTTTACATCAGCCATGGATTTCAAATCCAGAAATGTGGGCTTTGTTGTTTGCTGGCAGCTGTCACATTTAGTAGTCATCCTGATTGCGAGAAACTTCCAACTCGCTGCGAGGTTCAACATAACAAGCATAACAAGCATTATATAATTTCAGAAGTTCAGCCAGACAAAGACTTTTGACTCTCAACACCCAGCTTTACCATTGGACCTTCACAATCCTTTTCCGGACTGCCTCGCTAGTTTTCAGTTTCCAGCATCGCATTCCGCAAAAAAGACAGTGAGAAATGCACCAAACTCTTTGGAGCCTCACAATTTGTTCAGATTGAAGCCAGCACAACTCCTTAGAGACAACACATCTTCAGGAGTCCACGGAGTCCACATAGGAACTCTGCCAACTTGTCCCAACTTGTCGCTTGAGCTGATAAGACGCTGAACCATCCGCAGGACCCTTGGAAAGGATATGAAAGGATTCCCCTGTTGAACCCAAGGTTGATGCACACGTGGTAGTACCATGTAGTACCATGTAGTACCATGGTTGTGTGCAAATAATGCTCAGTTGCCTGGCGGAGGTGTGGAAAAGGTCTCAGTGCAATGGCTCCAGATGAAGAGAAGGCATTCAGCGTGCTGCATTGTGCATCTGCAATCTTTAGATCAACTGTGGACAAGTCCTGCCACTTCAGGAGAAGGAAAGGATCATGTCGCTCCCGCAGCTTCAGAATTTCATGAAGAGAGACCCTGAAGCCAGGAGCACAGAAATCAGCATCAGCATCTCTGAGATGCGCAGGGTGGGGGCGCCAAGGCCTATGGTCCGGAGTTTGACCAGCAATGGTGGAGACCTCAGCAAACGCTCGAAGCTGCTTAATCGTGGTGCCATGTGCCGGGGTGCAGCCCTCGATGCGTTGATGATGTAAAAGGGTGCATGTTAAAATATGTTGAAATGATTTGAAATGTTGATCTACTGTATTCTACTGTACATGTTTTATCATGTTTTGGTGTTTTACAGGTCCCACTTCGACAGCCAGATGGAGATGTTCAAACTGAAGCCACAGAAGCCATCAAGTTCCTTTGGTGAACAGGCCAGGGATCATGGAGAATGGATGAGAATGGAAGGCCTTGAACCTTCACTTTTTTGTCCTGCCGCTTCACTTCACCGTGAAAACTACTGTGCAACTTACATCCACTTAAAAAATCATCCACAATCCCTGGCCCTACAGCTTTGATCAAATCATCTGAGATCAACAGAGATCCACTCAGCTGCACCGATGGATCAGCTATGTGAGAGGTGATGTTCTTGGCTCATGTGGCACCGAGTTTCCCTGAAAAGGCCAAAGTCGTGTTCTCAGTTTTTTTTTGCCTTGAGGATGTATGGTATGCCAAACAGGCACACATCATACATCATCATACATTCACGCAACTTCACACAGTGATTAAACGTGATACGCGATCAATAGACACTGACTAAAAGATCGGGAATAGACAGACATCCAACAGATTCACACGCACGATGCATTGATGCTTCGCATCCGCCTGTGTTATACATGCTTGTGAAATATCACATGATGTCACATGTCTCTTTTCATTTGTCTACCATGCAGTCTTTTCCCTACGTCGATCCTGAGGCATTGCCGGATCTTCTGATAGGTCAACGCCTGAACTTCTTTTGTGCCACAATGATGCCATGAAAATCAGAAAACCGCTCCGAAAAGCCAGTGGTGTTGTTCCTTCTTGGTCCTCAGGGGCCTTGAGTGACCACTTTGAAGTGATGCACAGCTCAATGCGATCAACGCTGGTGCAGGCAAAATCTTTGACAGTTTGCATGATCGGCATATGGACAAAAAAATGCAAAACAACAAATTTGTTTGCATTACATTGTTATAACATGTTATAACATGTTATGACTACGTAGGCCTGCTAGTAGCATCTGAACAGGGTGACATCAGACCATTTCATCACTTCCACGACTCTGAGCTGCAGGCCTTGATATTGCTGCGGAATCGAGACCAGCTGCTGCCTCGAAACGCCTTCACGTGCCGGTCACTGCGCTATGTTGTGCTGTGCTAAGGTTTCCGTGTGCGAAGACACTACCGGTCTACTTCAAGCTTTTCCGGTCCCAGGTCCTGCAGTTGTGACTTGTACCATCTCATGCCACTCGTGACTTCCACTCATCGGACAATGTTGAGGACAAAGCTTTGAGAAAATCCATCTTCAATCACATCGTGCGTGACATCGCGCACATGAACCAGAAGACAAAGAATCAGAAGGACAGATCCTCATGGCGCGGTTGTGCAAGATTTAGCAATACCTCAGCTTCATCGATTAAACATGATATTGAGGTCAACTATGAGCTTCGAGACTTCTTCTTCGCACATTTGAAGGAAACTGATACCGAGGTCTGTCTTGATCAATGTTCGAAGTTTGGCCTTCCATGAAATTGAGATCTATTACTGTACCGACCGGCTCAGCAACCGCACGGCTATTGGCAGGTATGCCGACATGCCTGCGCTGTCTTTATCACCATGTGACCTTCCTGCTTTGAAGTGAAGTTCAAGGGAGATATTCAGGCCACAAATAAAATACTTGGCAAGCCACACCGGCCCTTTTTAAGCCAACTTCAAACTCAGGTTTGCCATTTATTGTTTTTCCAGATGTGGGTCCAAGCCTCAACAGATTTACCAATCAATCCTCAAAGGTACCGCCAGAATGCTGCTGCCTCAGAAGTGTGAAAGAACTCTGCCTTCGGCAGCAGATCGCAAAAAAACACACAAGGTGTTTCCAATTCTTTGGCCTCGGTTTGGCCTCGGCCATGCATCCATCACCTCTCCCAAAGCACTTCTTCTTTTGCCCGAAAGGTGCAAGACTTGCACTGTCGGTTGAGGTCTGGTCAGATACACATGTGGTGAACCTGATGAGTGTGCAGCTTTGAACAGGGACACACACCGGGCTGTGAGTTGAACATGTACAGAATGTACAGGTCGTAAGAGAAAAAGTCTTGCTAAGAAACTTTACAAGACCCCAACATTTTGACCTCGCAACCAAACATAAGCCAACATGGTTTTGCAAGTTCCTGTTGCTGTAACCCTTGATAGCTCAGGCTCGGGCTTGCTTCATCCAGATCTCAAAGTCGCTGCTGCCAGGTACACAGCTATTTCAAGATGACCAGAACGAACCTAGCTGTGTCTGACATAGACTATATCATCATATCATGATAGCATATGATAGCATTGTAGTGGCCACAATCACCATCAAGCTGCCATAACAGTTCCAAACTATTGCATTGAGCTGGCGAGCCCAAGGCCTTGGCGCATTTGTTTCTGGGCAACAAAACAAAGGTGGGATACGGTGGGATGAGCTTCGCGGCTGGAGTCACCTGGAGAAGCTTCAGCTGTTGTGATACGATGTGTTGCGGTTGCTATCACCTGTTCAGGGATTGGAAGGCATCCTGGATGAGAGTGATGATGAAGACGAAGCAGAAAACATCACGGAGGTGGATGCAACCAGATCAGATCATTTGCAGATCATTTGCTGTCTGTCAACGTTGCTATGAGGCTGTGACTGGCATTGTTGGCGCCAAGAAGACCGGAAACAGAGTCAGAAAACTGAAGAGGGCCAAAAAAGCAGCCTGGCAAAAGGATGGCCATTCTGGCAAAGCATGCTGCTATTTCTGGTATACTGTATGTGGTATCATTCTGGCAGAGTTGACAGCTTTCACCAGGGCACTGACAAAGATCTAAACACCTTTACCCAGTTTAGCCTAGTTTGAAGCTTGAGGGTAGGGACAATTCACTCCCGTTACTGTGAATTAGGCAGCCAAGAAAGCTGCTGCTGCCTCAGAACATGCTTCGTTGAGACCCAGGAAGTTCTGATTCACGTCCCATTTTTACAAACGACATTCAGTTTGTCATAGTTTGTCTATACTTTTGATTCCGTTATGGGCAATCCAAAGCAAAGCAAATTGGAAGCATCAGCAGTGCAGCAGTGCGCTGCACTTTGCCAAGCGAGTTCTGCGATTCCCCAAGGCCAGAAAAAATGGGAAGAAAGGTTCCAACGTGGTGAGCTTTGTGGCCATCGTCAAATGCTTAGACTCTGGCAATATCTCAACATATCTCATATATATAGAATGGGCTAACGCCCTGGTGCCGCCGACCCCCTTTTCAGGGCGGAGCGGCGGGGAAAGGTCAAAATGGCCCACATGCGCACCAATCGTGCAAATATTGTAGAGTTTTTGAAAGTCTAGGTAGCGTAAACATAGATTGTGGGACAATGAATGCAATGTATTGATATCAGGGATTTCCGTGGCTGTTCATGGAATGTTGTTTTCATATTTTGGGGATGGTGTGTCTTGCCTCCCTTGCGTGAGACGTAGTCTTCGCAAGGAAAAGGCGCACCAAACGTATGCATGAAAACAACATTCAATAAACAGACACGGAAATCCCTGATATCAATGGCACAATCATCTGAAATCCAAAAAACTATCTGCCTTGGTTTGTTTCTTGAGCAACGTTTGATTCATTTGATTCATTTTTCATCATTTTTTGGGGGGAAACACACCAATATGGGTGTGTCTGAAAATAGTGTACCCTTAAACCCAATGGTTAATGATCATTATCCATATTAAATGGCTATTTCATTGGGAATATACCCTATTTTGAGACACATCCATATTTCACGATTTTTTTCATCGACGTCTAAGGGTGACTTTCACCATGGCCCCTTTCCAAAGCACTGATAAAATCGCTTCGGCCGCGATGCCGCAGAAACAGTTATCGTCAAGTTGAGGACGGAAGCAAAGTCGAACACATTGATCTTGGATGGTTCCACTCACTTGTAGTATTTCATAATTATGTTTTTTTCCAATATGTTGAATGTTATGGATAGATAATATATCATGAGTTCACACTTGCTGCGGCCGGGGGGATGCCTTGAGCCATTGCTGTGGCCTTGTGGTGGCTTTTGCCTGCGGGCGTGCCCGAGGCATGGACGCCCTAACGACAGAGCGCTATGCAGGCAAACGGCCGGCGAGGCATTTTAAGCGTTTGAAGCCTGTCAAACGGCAGCCTTGAACGCCTATAAGAAGCCATTGCTGCGGCCGGGGGGATGCCTTGAGCCATTGCTGTGGCCTTGTGGTGGCTTTTGCCTGCGGGCGTGCCCGAGGCATGGACGCCCGAACGACAGAGCGCTATGCAGGCAAACGGCCGGCGAGGCATTTTAAGCGTTTGAAGCCTGTCAAACGGCAGCCTTGAACGCCTATAAGAAGCCATTGCTGCGGCCGGGGGGATGCCTTGAGCCATTGCTGTGGCCTTGTGGTGGCTTTTGCCTGCGGGCGTGCCCGAGGCATGGACGCCCTAACGACAGAGCGCTATGCAGGCAAACGGCCGGCGAGGCATTTTAGGGTTTGAAGCCTGTCAAACGGCAGCCTTGAACGCCTATAAGAAGCCATTGCTGCGGCCGGGGGGATGCCTTGAGCCATTGCTGTGGCCTTGTGGTGGCTTTTGCCTGCGGGCGTGCCCGAGGCATGGACGCCCTAACGACAGAGCGCTATGCAGGCAAACGGCCGGCGAGGCATTTTAAAGCGTTTGAAGCCTGTCAAACGGCAGCCTTGAACGCCTATAAGAAGCCATTGCTGCGGCCGGGGGGATGCCTTGAGCCATTGCTGTGGCCTTGTGGTGGCTTTTGCCTGCGGGCGTGCCCGAGGCATGGACGCCCTAACGACAGAGCGCTATGCAGGCAAACGGCCGGCGAGGCATTTTAAGCGTTTGAAGCCTGTCAAACGGCAGCCTTGAACGCCTATAAGAAGCCATTGCTGCGGCCGGGGGGATGCCTTGAGCCATTGCTGTGGCCTTGTGGTGGCTTTTGCCTGCGGGCGTGCCCGAGGCATGGACGCCCTAACGACAGAGCGCTATGCAGGCAAACGGCCGGCGAGGCATTTTAAGGTTTTAAGGGTTTGAAGCCTGTCAAACGGCAGCCTTGAACGCCTATAAGAAGCCATTGCTGCGGCCGGGGGGATGCCTTGAGCCATTGCTGTGGCCTTGTGGTGGCTTTTGCCTGCGGGCGTGCCCGAGGCATGGACGCCCTAACGACAGAGCGCTATGCAGGCAAAGGGCCGGCGAGGCATTTTAGGGTTTTAAGCGTTTGAAGCCTGTCAAACGGCAGCCTTGAACGCCTATAAGAAGCCATTGCTGCGGCCGGGGGGATGCCTTGAGCCATTGCTGTGGCCTTGTGGTGGCTTTTGCCTGCGGGCGTGCCCGAGGAATGGACGCCCTAACGACAGAGCGCTATGCAGGCAAACGGCAGGCTGCAATGCTGGAACAGCAGGCAGCCTTGAACGCCTATAAGAAGCCATTGCTGCGGCCGTGGGGTGCTCTTGAGCCATTGCTGTGGCCTTGTGATGGCGTTTGCCTGCAGTGTGGGCGTGGCAAAGGTGCAAGAAAGACAGGATCTACGGCGTGGCAAAGGTTCAAGAAAGACAGGATCCACACCTCCGGTGGTCCCAGGCGCCGCCCCGGCCTTGGCGAAGGCCAGGGTCGGCGGATATATATATATACATCTTCAGATGACAACTTGGAATGCTCTCGATCCACATTTGCCCTGGACTTTGATGTAAGGACCTGCTGAATGATCCGCAGACTTTGGCCGAGAGGTTGCTGCAAAGATTGAGCAAGGCTGCTGCAGCTATGCTGCGCTATGCTGCGCTCAGTGGTCAGTGAATTCCCAGTGGTTTCGCCAGGGAGGAGAACCTTTCCTCTTCCGTTTGCTGATGCTTCACTTGGTAGCAAGGCAGGTGGATGTTGCGATCTAGAAAAGCATATAAAAGCATCATCTATGTCCATGCATATCTCAGATATCTATGCACAATGTGACAACATTTCAATCTACAGTATATTCAGACAGACCAATCTACAGACTGAAAGACAGATGCACGTGCCAACATGGATTGGACAACATGTGATATGACATACAGTACCATGCCATACCATATACCATACCTGCAGATGTTGCGCGATGTAAGATGGATTAAGTGGGTGGATTAGTGGATGGTCGGGGGGCTGGGGTGGGTGGCTAGAATAGGTAAGTGAATGGATGGCTATTTCCCGTATTCATCCGTATTCCATCTGTGATTTATAGCTTGCGTTGACATTCAAAGTTGGCTTCAGTGGGTCACTGCATGTCAGCTGGCAGGCTCATTGGAAGGCACCAGCTACAGGTTCTGAATCTTTATCCGTCACTCAGCAGGAACATATCCAGCACCAGGAGAGCTCAACGGATTGCAGATTCCACTTTTTCTTGTTGTATCTTGTTGTTCATAGAACCAGAACAACATCTGAGGTTCTTGCAAAAATACTTGGTGATGGGCTCAGAATGGCGGTTGAACTTAAGCCGCAGCAGTCGCGCAACCCTGATATGATGCAAACCAGCGCTGACTTAGTCACTGATCCATATTCACAAGAGTCAACATATAGAGGTCCTCTGTGGCAGCATGACGATTGATTTGTTGAAGTTGATGGCTACCATCATCATTTTCATGCTGTACTTTGCTCGGAAGATCACAACCTAAACAGCCGTGCTCAAGACTGGGCTGCTACACAAGTACTTTAAAGATGAAGACGGTTTGTAGGGAGTGCAACATGCTGCGACAGTGGCACTGAGGTTCCAACACAAAAAGAGGTGACCAAAGTGATGGCAGCACTAGTTGAGGCATCGCAAGAGATCAGTTGGCAAGAAATGATAGTGATTCTATAGGATTCTCCTTTTTCCTCTCTCTCTCTCTGTCTATGATTCTCTTTGTATGGTTTTGTGCTCTAGAATCTGTTCTTGACACTATGCACATTCACTGAATCAACATCCAGCAGATTATATAATATTATATATATAATATATGTATTATATATATATTCATAATATCAATACATATATATATATATAGATAATATAATCAACAGAAGAACGACTTTGCCGCCAGGCATCACATCCTGCTGTCCCGCCAGCTTCACTGGCCTGATTTGACACGCTGCTCGATGCTGCTGGATGTGCCCAGCATGTTTGGTTTCGAATGGTTCCCCTGGTGGGCTGACTCTTCAGGAAGAGGTGCGGCCGGTGGTTCTTCACATAGTAGCTCGGCTGGCACAATATTTACATTCAGATGTCCAGACAACCGAGGGCTTGCAGATGATTATGCTGAAATATGCTGAAGTTGTTCAAGTTGAAGAGAGCTGCTACTCAAGGTCAGATACTTTGTGACAGAGGCCCAGTCACCAGAGGTGATCGAAATTGGTTTGGACCATAGAATTTCCACATCACAAATCATGACAAGACATAGCTCAGATAGCTCAGATAGCTCAGATAGCCTGCTTCTCCAAGCATTGCATCTGAAATTGATGAGCTGAGGCTTAAACACCATTCGAGAAGTCTGTGCCAGGCTGACCGCCTTGCAGTGATGCGATGCAGATAAATGTGACGCGGTCGACGCCACAAGGTCCATCAATATTCTTACAGAAGAGGAGTCATGGCCTCAGGCTGTTTTCTCAGGCGTCGTGGTATGCTATGCCATGTGGTCAAACTTCACTGGCATCAAGTCTTCGGTACTCTATAGACTAATCCTCGAGTGAATGGAGGCTTACAGATCTTTGTGGCTTTCGGAAGCACAAGAACAAAGGCCAGTGTCATTGCAATGGTTGTTCTTGCCACAATCACTGGACTTGCAATCAACTGTTCCTGGGGTCTTTCTGTCTTCGTGTTCGCCACATATTGTTCGCCACATATTGGGGTTGGGAATATGTTCTACGAAGGTGTCTCCATGGCAGCTTGCCCCTCAGTCTGTCAAGATGAACAACTCAATGACCAAGTGATTCGCAACGTTGAGATGTGAGGGTCCAGTGGGTCCAGCTCCGCAGGTTCGCAGTCTGATCAACACCTACCGAGAGCTTGATACCCAGCCCATCACCGGCTGAAGCTCAATCTGGCTGAACTGTTCCTCTAGCGCTGCGGATTCCAGCTGAGTTCCAGAGGATTTTAAAGTAGCTAAGTAGCTTAGAGTAGATTTATTCGGACATATTTGGACATATTTTTCGACACAAATGGAACTTTGAAGAGTTTGGATGCCATTTTTTATGCCATTGGTCCTTCCATTGGTCCAAACCGTGACGGGAATCCGCCACCGAGGCTTCATCCACAGCTGCTGCACCGGTCCTTGCGCGGCCGCGAGGCCACGGTGGCCGTAAGCCCGGAGCCTCGGTGAAGATTCTAATGTCACAAGGATGTTATGATAACTATATGATAACTATTATGGTTGAGGATAAAAATGAGGATAGATCTGGACATTAGATGATATTAAATGATATTAGGCTAGATTCTGGATGATAAAACAGAACCCCCACACCTTCCCCATAAATCTACGTAAATCTAAGATGCATGAGAAGATGTGGGAAGATCCAAGTGAAGTGGCAATATGGGGCAGTGGAACGCATCTGGAAAGGTCGTGGAGAAGTGCAGGCTCCACAGTTCGGTGAGATGCAGGCAGGTGGCAGGTCGTATCATGTTACTCTGAGGGGGCCACGACCAACCAGACATTCCAGGCATGTCATTTTGCCAAGTCTGAACTTCCAGGCCTCTGAAAAGATCGAGGGTTTGGAGCTGTTAGCAGCCAAGAAGGGCAAGCACGAAAAGGAGGCTTGAATTTTGAGCTTCGCTGCCAAGAACTCAATGCTTCGAACAAACCCTTCTGCCCCTATGCAGCATCATGATATTGAGCAGAAGTGCTCTTGCTTTGGTGCCATAGTCCTTTCAACAAATGAGATTTGGAGGTGGGCGACGGGCTGCAGCCTCAGCTCAACAGCCAGAAACGGCACCAAACAATCAGCCCTGACAACTCAGCGAGCAATCCACATTCAGATCATTCAGATCATTCAGATTATTCAGGATGGATTTGATGAGCGAGAAAGTGCAGAACTCAGATTGTCCTGGGTGCGGCCACGTTAAGGATCGCACAGCAGAAGATGCATGAAAACTTCCATGAAGTTTCAGAATTGGTCAATCCCACGCAAGCAAAATCTGAAGAGCACGTGCAGCTTCGTTGAAAGTATTGGCCGTTTGACTGTAAAATTCTATTGAATGCTTCTTCTTCATAAGGATATGCTATGATATGTTATGGTACATGTAGTACATCTACGATCATCTACGTATGTACATCTAGTGTGTTCATCTTAATCTTAATCAATCTTGCTTACTTTCATGTTAGTGATTTTAGTGCCACTGACTAGACCATTGATCTGTGTGCGGTGTCTTGGAGCTACCAGGCCGAGGTCAGATAAGATATGATAAGACGTTAAGATATGATGCTGCAGTAAAGCCTCAGTAAGCAGTATGGTGGATGGTCTTTATCTCAGCCAGCCATGATTTTTCATGATTTTTCATCTTTTTTCTTGAATGCACAGAGGGGTCGTCCTTGGCGCCTGCATCAGTTTCATGAGCTGTGGGGCTTACCTGCTCACTTCACTTTCCTTCGTATTTTTCACACATTTAGGATAATTAATATTTAATTAATTATATATATATATATATATTAATTATATATATATGTTTCATGCTGTTTCGCATTTTGGACTACGCGCACTTCCTCATGAATCTCCAGCTGATTCCCACTTCTCACCTTGTTTCCTTTTTGCTGATGCCCTGTGCCTGCATCTTGCGTCGACGCTTGCTTTTTTTCCAGGTGTTGAGCCCGGAAGACTTCAAGCAGCTCCGCAAACTCAGACTGCAGAAGTCCATTGAGCAACCTAGCTGCAACAAGAATCGATAAGCATTTTGACATGATCAACATCAATCTGCATTTGGTCCCATCTAGCAGATAATCTGGCTTTCATCAGATATGATAAGATGATTGAATATCCATCATCACACCCACGGGACCCCCCAACAGCAAGTTGAACAGAGAAATACATAAACAATCGCAAACAATGAACCACAACAAAAGGCGATTGTCACGATCTTCATGCCATTAGGGATCCTATGATCCCTGAAGCAACAGGATGCAGATGGGCAGAAAGCGTCCTGCTGAGGTGCGGCTGATGTCCTAAAGTGAGTTGATTTCTATACAATATATATATACATTAAATTATATTAATAATTATATTAATAATTATTAACTATTTCTATATACTTATCTCGGGTGTTGCCAGATGTTGCCAGATGTTGCCAGATGTTGCCAGATGTTGCTAGTATTTGCAAGAGCAATCCATGAGTTGTTTCGAAAAGCAGCATGTGTGACCACAAGAGGAATGCACACACCCACTTGGATGCACAGAAGGTGACCCTCACACCCAATAATGTAACACGTGGATACAATTTGGACTTCGTACAGCGCCACAGGACATCAGCTCTTCATCTGGCTCTAGCAGCAACTTGGTCAGCAATAGTATGCTTCCGTTGTTGTTTGATGTTGTTCGAGGACTCCATATACAAAATTGGCAGAGATGCAGTGAGATCCAGGTGAGTCAGATGCAGAGGAAGATGAACGTGGACTCACAGGTACTGCATCGCTATGGTTTTCAGCTGTCAATAAAAACGCAAGAGGAAACACAGGAAACACAAGAGCTCTTCTTATTGTGCAGGGTCATTCTTTTTTTTCACTAACAAACTTGAAATCATGGAAAGATAGGACCCGTCAACATGTGTTTGACGTCCTGGGCACGTGTTTCATGCCGCATTTCATTGGAGGCCGATTGCCAGATCAAGTTTCTGCAGATATGCTCAGTGCCACTCCAAAACGTGCGATCGACCCTCAGACTTGCAGAAACACGACCTTCAGTGACCTTCAGTGACCTTCAGTACTGATCGCAATTTGCAAGTTAAGCTCTACCCGTTCCACTTGCAGTGATTTACATCGGCCACGATGGACGATGCATCTTTGTGTGTGTGTGTACGTGTTTTATTAAACATATTGTTAAATCACGTGTTTGCCCAGTATGGCGAAAGAGTTGCCACCCCAGGCGAACGAAAGCAGAGCGCCTGGCCAGAGTTTGATTCTTGGAGCGTAGGCGGTCAATTGTTGCATGTGTGACGTTCGCAGGGTCTTGAAGTGAAGTACCAGCTCCCTTTTCATACGAAGCATTACAGAGAACGTTCAAATTTTGATTGCAGGTTGTTGTTTGGTTTCTACTAGATTACTAGATCTACTAGTAAGTTTCATTCAGCCATGACGATAGAAGTATGCAATTGAAAGTCTCATTTGGTATCACGGCCTCCCGCCAGAACTGAACATCAAGCACACATGCTGACATGCAAATAGCAACCATGAAAGGCAGTTTCCACCTCATACACGCACACAAACACATGCAGAGCAATCAAGTGCAACATGCGTTTGAAAGAAGTTCCAAAGGGTTGCCAATGGAACCAGCCATCAGTTGCATGAGAGTGACAAACCATGGGAGATCTAGTGGTGGTAGGGCATAGCTCAAGGAATTACAAGACAGCAAGGCCGTGAAACATTTGCCGGCATATTCAGTACCGATCTTTGGTCCTCGCGTTCGGGTGCGAAACATTGGCGCAATGAACATCGTGCTGACCCTCGCAAGCTTTGCCCTGCTTCAAAAAGTAGTTTCTCAGAGCAGCATTTGCACGACATGCTGCCTGTGGGATGGAGTGCAAGGATCATTACGAAAGAAGCTTGCCTTGTGATTGCCTTGTAACACAACTTGTGATGCCTTTTAAGTTTTCTTCATTTTTGTTCTCTTGGAATGTCAGCTGCACAGGGCTGCACACTTGATGAATTCTTTTGTTTCAGCGGTTTGATGATTTTGATGCGGCCAGGAATCTGACAAACTCGAACAGCCAGTTGTCCTATGCGGTTGGCAGGGTCCCTACCAGCGAACTCCGTACTTGTAGTTCACTACAGCTGAACTTGATATTCTATCACAAGTCTGCCAGAGCGTTTGTTTGCTCAGCCTGCAGGTTGATCAAAACAAGTTTGCTCCGTTTTGCTCCCTTGTCGATCATTTGTCGATCCTTGTGCATTTCTAGTCGAGGTCTTTGGATGAATGATTTGGACGCAGGGCACGTCTCCACTGCTGTGGCCAGTATTCTGATAGAAGAAGTCTTCGGCTATCACACCATCAACCGCAGCAGTGGAGGACAGGGGCACCAAGGAACGATGAAGACATATGAAGACTATCATTCATGATATTCATGCCGTGCCTGCCATTCTTATTTGTGGAGATTCCATCGATCCTATCTCTTGTTTCGGTGAATTTGAGTGTACAACTTCCAAAACTTCCCAGCAGAAACTCCCAGGCCTTCTGTGGCAAGTCTCAAGCTTCTGAAGTTGCTCCGTCATGGCACAACCAGCAAACACCAGCAATATTCAGCGATCACAAAAGACATCATAAGACAATATTGAAAAATAATAGAACCTCTATATATAATTATATATATATGTATATACATATATATATATATACATAGAACCCCCCTCTCTCTCTCTCTATACATATATATATACATACCAATCAAATCAATTTTGATCATTTTTGCAAGTCCTTGTGTCTCGCAGCAGCTTCAGGAGGACCACAGGAGGCCTACCGAGCAGTTGCTGGTTGTCTAGATCCAGGTGATGAATCCTCTTGCGGTGCAGCGGCAGGGACGATCCCCACAAGTTGGCACATTGCCCTTGATGTGCGGCAACCTTTTCAAGCAACCACGACTCTGCCTACTTTGGATTTTGTGGATGCTGGTGCCATGTCCTATGTTGGACGAAGAGGACACTTTCTCAAGAACTCGGTCTCAACATCAGGTACCATTCGTTACATGGATCTGCAATTCCTCTCCTTCGACACCATCAGCTCTGTAGATAGATTCTATTTGAAGCAATGTACCAACACGCAGCTGGCGAATACGACCATGATCCGGAGCTACTTGGACATCGTCTCCGACAGCAGCGGTGTAACTTTGGGCAACGGTGGATTTATCGCCTTTTGCCCTGCTGATGGATACTTCTGGCTGGCGCCAAGCTGTCGTTCCAACAGTTCTCAATGCATCCCCTACTTTTTCAACTCGTATCATCGCGCAGTCGACGTGTTGGAGGTGATGCAGAAGGCCGTCCGTTCTGCCCTCTTTTTTGTTCCTCATGTGTTGTATTTCTCCCCTTAAAGATCTTAATGTGGAGTTTCTTATTTGATTCAGCCTCCATAAACTGTACAAATGCATGGGTTGAAGATGTCGGAAAATTGGCAGGGCACTTTGCAGATAATAGCCATATCATATACCATCTTATACCTTGTATTGTAGCTTTCCTTCTTCCCGAACCGCAGGCTGCCGTCTGGAATATTCCCTGGGCCATTAGTGTGGCCTACGATGAGGCCAGCTTTGAGGAGGTGCTTGCGACCAGCCGAAGCATGTTTTTCCGCTACACACCAGATTCACAGGTTGGCCTGGTCTCGCCCGTGGAAGTCATCTTTCCAGCCCATAACAGCGCTGCCTGGGCAAATGGAAATTTTTCCACAGCTTCAACGGACGTTTCGGTGCAAAAGCTCTTGAGTCAGGACCTCATAACCCTGGCGCCAGAGGTTGATGCATTCATCGTTGCCTTTGATCTCACTGCAGCACATGTGGAGACACTTCTGGCGGATTCAGAGGCTTTGGGCTCTTTTCGATCTGGAGCTTGCAATTGGTTGAATAATTGGCCGGAGGTTGCTTGACTATCTTGAGATTTGATTGTATACTGCCATACCTTCTTCATCTTGCTTCCACATCTTCACAATGTGGTGTGTGAGTGTAGTTTGCCTCATTGGTCGGAGAGCAATACGTTCCCTGTTGCTGAACATTTTCTGTGGTTCATTGTTTACGGATCCCAAGTCTCTACAATATTCCACAATTATATAACCATTTCTCGCTGTTGTATCAAGCGTATATCAAGCGTTTATAGGTTTCACACGAGTGTTTTTTTTGAGGTCAGCAGGCCAAGTCGCAGAGAATTTGGGCCTGTAAACAATCCGACAGAAAGACAGGCATGGAATTGGCATGGACCAAGGTTTGGGAGCCGTGGATCCAGAGTGTCGCCAGCACCACCACTAGCACCACCAGCACCACCAGCACTACGACCCCAAATCTAGCGACAAATACGACAACCCCAGCCAATACAGGGACGACTGAAGCAGCCTCAGCTTCTTCACCAGATGAGTTGGCCACTTGGAACATTTGTTTGCATCAAAAAGCATTGCTGGTCTTCTATTTTTTGAGATGAAGGGTGTGGTCCAGGGACAACTGTGACAACAGTGTGGCAACATGTGGCAACTATATACAACATTATACAACTTTGTGTTTTTCTTAGCCCAAAGGCGGGATGATTTCAGGTCTTGAATTCTTCGGGTGCTGTCCGTGGAGTCAGGGGTGTTATTTGTGTTGTCTTACTTTCTGTCCCTGGTTCGGACGTTGCTGGTCGCATCTCAGTCCCGCTGATTTCGTGATGTCATGAAGAGCGGCATGTAGATAGAATTATTTAGAGGAACAAAAACTAGGCAGAGAAGCGTTTCAGTCTGAGGTAGTATGCCACATACATCACATTGTAACACTATATTATATTATACTATATTATAATGTATCACCTATATTCATTTAAAATCATGTTGGTTCCATTCAAGCTCTAAGAACTGCGGCATTCTGGTTTTGTGTTTGTCTCTCTGTCAGTTGAATGACCGCATGGCCGTGGCTTGTTGGTCTCCACATGTGGTCTGCGACTGCTATGGAGGGCACACAAGCTGAGGTGATGGGTGCTGTGAACCCTTCCGTCACTGCTTCAGTGCTTGCATCTATGGCAGCAGACCGCACTGCCTTTGCGACTTGACGCGCATTGCATTTGATATTATTTGACATGTAATGGATATGACAACATTTTGACAACATGGTGAGCTATTGTCTGTTCTTTGCGTTGCTTTCATCAGTATGGACTTCACACCTCAGTTTGGGTTGCACTTTCTGGGAATGTGCCGACTATGCAGATCTATGCAGTTGCAGGTTGACGTTCCATTCTCCGGCTCGCAATATAATTTGGCCATGGAAATGATTGGCATTCCTACTGTTGGATGGGCGGCTGACCAGTCGGCCACTTTCCCGGGCAGCGTCAAAGAACTGGTGGTGACACCTGCTGAGCTCCTTGGACTCCTTGGACTCCTTGGACTTGGAATGACTCAGTCGTTTCTCATTGAATGTGAAGAGATGTGAAGAGAATGGCAGCGACATTTGCATTGATCTGTGAAGGCTCAGTGTATCCTGTGGTACCCTGTACCCTAACGCTCACCGACTAAGGCTTTTTCTGACCCCAAATCCCGCTCTCATTGCCACAGCCTCAGTGGAATTTCAGTCGCAGACTTTCATTCGCTTGGCACACATACCATATCTGTCAACGGCAGAGCTGGCTGCTGATGGTTCTGAGCAGTAGCAGTAGCAGTGGCCAGCACCATCAGCAGCTGTCCATATTGCTACAAGTTCGGGGAGTTTGTCCCAGTCCTTAGTCACCGTTAGTCATGAAGAGTCAGAGGCTAGTGTAAGAGACATCAATTCTACTACGGTGATCTTGCAAACCGTGCTGGAATGTATCTAGAATGTGCTGGCATTTCATAGTGCCAGAACTGATGAGCGCAAACAAAGGTGGCAGAAGGGGGCAGTGACGCTTCCAGCGCCATACTGCCCTCAGAAGCTAGACCTGGTCAGACACTCGTCCTTGGATCTTTGAACAACACAATGAGTATCACTGGGCCAGGGCCAGGCTTGGCCTTTCTTTTGGTCTTTGTCTTCTTTGCCTTGAGTTCAAACAATCCACCTGAGGAACGTGACGGTTTCGGGAGCACAATATGAAGTTTCCGGTATCATTGTTACAGCTTTCTTGGCTCGGTTAGTGCTGCAGCTTGCCCAACTCATGTGTCAAGTCCATTCAACGTCTCTAAAGATTTGAAGACCGTGCTCTTCCAGGTTTCATTGGTGGAGCTTTCATCTACAAGTTTGAGCCCTTTGGACTCTTGGATGATCTTGGATTAACTTGTATTATTTCATGTCAGCCTTGCAGTCTAGCCATGGCACTCTGCAGTTTGCCAAGGCATCTGACATGCAGACTGTGCATTTCGATAAGTCACCCATGCTCTGCTGGCAGCAGCACTCGTTTTCTGCGAGGAAGTGACAGGACTACAAACACCTATCCTTATCAGGCCCGCTGATCAAAATGCAGAACTAGCGACGCAGACCGTTATAGGGAAAATTTCCTAAAGGATCCATGTTCATTCAAAAACAGAAGTCAAGAGTTAGACAGACTCTGATGATCCTTCTTTCAGAGCATCAGAGTTGAAGAGAGGTAGGTGCATGCCACATATGCGCAAAGTGTCGTGTGTCGCAATGGACCCCAGACATTCTGGGCTGCTCCATGCACGCCAGTGCCCCGGGAAAGGGACCAGCCCAAAATCTGGTACAATATGTACAATGGCTCCTGGGATCTCCTGGGCAGGATGTCAACAACATCGCCGGCTGCGGATACTCTTTGTGTCTATCTCGATGCAAACAATGCGTGGTCCCAGGCAGATCCAAATCCAAATGATCCAAATGCCATTGGATTTGTGAAGTCGCAGCAATTTTTGTTCGCCATGTGCCCACAGGCGGGCGTGTATCGTCCAACTGCTGCAGAGATCACCACCATTTCAGGAAGCCAAGTTTCCTGGCATTCGTGGGGATGCTTGGATAGGAGAAGGATATTGAATCACATTGATGAATGCCCTTGATTTGCAGGTTTACAGGTTGTAGATAGGAAGAAACATATACTCTACTGACTCTACTGTAAGTCTCTAAGCAAACAGTCTACACTGATTGTTCTTTATATATCTTGATATGATTTCGTGTCATATGCCAGACCCTCAGTCATGACCGGGAACCCTAACTTGCACAAAGAGTTGTCTTTTCTGACACATCCCGCCAGAGGGCAAGGCAAAGATCACAATCCCCCAAGGCCTCAACCCCTAAGGCCCTAAGACATAAAACAACACCCTATAAACCCATCGAGATCCCATAGCATAGCCCGCTTTTGCGAATGTCATGAATGTATGTGACCATTTGCCAAAAATAGTTGACAGACGTTTTGTACCAGTTGTTGATAATTAGTGTGGACCTAGTGTCATATTAATTTATGTTTTTTTTTTAATGTGTTCCTGACTGCTTGTTCTTTCAACATGAAGAGGAGTCAAATGTAACACTTAGCTCCTTAAACCCAAGGATGTCTTAGTGAATTTCTTTGCTACTCAACAATTTCCATTGTATGTCTGGAATCATTTGGGAGGGACGCAGGGTATGTGGCAACATCAACCGTCTGACCAGTGTGCTTGTGTACATCGAACACATTCGTTATGAGGCAGACACATCAGGCATATGGTGCGCCACCGAGCACTTGTCAACTTTCGGGATTCTTTTGGCAGTGAGCTCTGAATCTCAGCTGCAGATATGATGAGAATGAGAGACCAAGAGAGATGAAGAAGGGAGATCAAGAGAGATGAAGAGAGATCAAGAAGGAAGATCAAGAGAGATCAAGAGAGAT